CAATTTACATTGTTCAATAAAGTTCATTAAAAAAATTTAAAAAAAAACTTTGGTCTTCACACAATGTGCTTCCTGTCTGATGATTGCTCTGCCCTCAAATATGACTGGACATCTGAGAGGTCATGTGATTTTGATGACATGACACCACAGCTTTGGCTAACCCATAGTTTCACTGGCATTCATGTATTTTTATGGGGGAGCTACAAACACTAGACCTTAGATGTCACACATTAGGCAGTGTCCCACTTCAGGGCAATTTACCCTATCTACATAGGCCTACTTTTCAGTATTAACATTTTATTTAGGTAAAGTTAGACAGAATATTATTCTATTATCATGCTATACCGTATAGTGTGAACTTGCTAATTGTTTGATAAAATTGTTTAATGTCTATTTTTTCTAAGAAATTTCTTTCCATTGTCCCACAATGTTGCCTCCAAACAACATTTAAAAAAAAGACCACACTAAAATTATTTTCTCAGTTACACGACGCTATTAAATAATTACTGTACTGTAATTCTTATTAGGCCTATGTACAAGCGTTACGTGTGATCCTTTTTCTAGCAAGATATAGCTCTTTGGCGCCGTCTTGCGACTGTAATAAAACTACCCTGGAAGGGCAATATTTATTTTAATATAGGCTACACGTGGTTAAAGAAAACGAAACATCGCTCAGATGAACAACGAACCGGTAAGACATAAGGCATAATATGATTGAGAGAGAACCCAAAACAGATGTTTATTGTCGCTAATTAAATTAGCTAGTCACAGTAAACAGTAGATTATTAAAAACCATTTATATCTGCGTATTCTGTGCTGAGATGGACTGTTTTTCTTTGTGAAAGATTTAAGCTATTATAAAAAAAAATAACTCAAGTAATCAATGTTTCATGTCAGTGTGTTATATTTATTTATTAAGTTGTTTGAGCGTGGGCCTGATCACCGTGTCGGGTTTGCGATAATGACCGCCTGAATGTATGTTATACTTTACATACATTCTTCAAAAGGTCAATGATATGGTAAAATCACATATAGCCTCTTTTGTTTGTGTGTCAATCGAAGTGGCATTGTGTGGGAGGTGATTATTTGGCCATGAGCAATAAGACACGCCCAAGGGGCGTTACCACAGCTCACAGCATACACTAAATTACAGTGCGCACGTTCTGTGCGGGGCAGAGAGAAGTATGACCGAAGAGAACGTGTCGGAGTTTGACAGTAAAAACCCAGAAAGGACCTGCATGAACTTACCATGATTTTCTCAAGGAATCCCTTTTGCGCTTTTTTATTTTTTGCTTTGTTGTTTTTGTCTTTAACGGTTATTCTGAAAAAATGGCACTTTGGTCTCCAGGAGAACAAACCTTTTGGTGATGCTGCCCGCACAGATGGTTTAACTACAGCGAGTGACAGATTGCTCCAACAACTTCAGGAAAGACAACAAGAACTTGAGCTCCTGCGTATCACATTTAATATTGTACAAGGCTTTATGGATTCAAGTTTATCCACAGAAGACAGTGCAAAATATATCAATGGGAAATTAAGTTTGGACAACCCAGTAACTGCTAAAACTGATATTGGCTGTGAAGAACTTAGTGGCATCAAAGCTGTTGACTTTCTTGGTTCAGGTTACACTAAAACAGTGTTAAAAGCAGCGTTGCCGCAAGGATTATTTGTGGCACTGAAATCTGTTAACCATCAAGGTACGGACATGAGATTGTGTATGGAAGATTTTCAAGATTCCCAAGGCTGTCTTGAGCTTGTGTCTTTCAAACTGAGGAAGGAGATTGTGTTATTGCAGAGACTGCAGCACCCCAATATTGTAGAGGTAAGAAAAACACCCTTATGCAATAACTTGCACTCACTCTCCAGATTGTGCCGTTGTTACGTAATATATTAGATATGAAAAAGTTTAAAGGATGAATAAGTGCCACACGTTGCATTTTGCACTAGTTTATCCACTAAACTTGGTGTGTTCTTTCCAGCTAAAAGGTCAATGTCAGGACAGCACTCTGGTTGGTGGCATCACAGCAGTTCTGGAGCAGGGGATGCCACTTCAGATGATACAGCTTCTGCAGAGCCCCTGGGAAGAGCGCTTTCGGGTAAGAGCACCACCCCCAGGCCTCCTGTGGAGTGTTAATCAGAGATTCCCCACCCACAATCCCCCCACAGGGCATACCTGAGGTGGGGGTGGATGAAATTCTTTGGCTTGGGTGGATTAACTGGAGCCCCATCTCCATACCAGCTGAGCCTGATCAAATAGTACCGAGGGACAGATGTCTGTCTCAGATGTCCATCCTTTTACTTTTCTTTACCCTGATAATTTCTCGGCACCATTTGAGGGAGCTGCCAATACCTTGCTTCACGAGGCGAGAGTATTTTCTTTCACGTTCACTTTGGTATACAAGAAGCAGGTGTTGACACTCTGCACCTTTGGTTTTTGATAGGTTCTGATGATGACAAATGCGTTTAAGCTAAAGGGCTGTAATCGAGTGACTCGTCTCTTTGACATTCTTGCCTTCCCTGATACACGTGGTCGAGAGTTATTCAAAAGGTGTTTGGTTTCCTCCACCTCTGTTTTTGAAGAGCTGTGGCTACGCTGTCTTTAGGGGTATATTCGAAGGTGACTTAATACCATTACTGTGCTCTCCAGTGTTACAATATTATAGACGGAAGTAAGAAAACCAATGAATATGGTGACGACTAGTTAGTAGAACTAGATTTTATATTTACAAATTGACATCATTTAAGTTGCACATATAGAAGGATCAGCTTACTTTATTGATGCCTGAGGGGAAAATTTGGGTGTAAACCAATGCATCAAATGTAAGTGTATGAGATCAATACTATTCACACTGCAAAAAAATTTTCATACTTTTTGAGTATAAAACAGTTACAAACCAGTGAAAAATTCTGCCAGTGCAGTGAGACAGAATGCACTTGTATTAAAGAAACATTTTATTAAAACAAGCTTTATATATTGTGTTGTTTCTCAAGTAAATTTATTGTGTTTTGAGGGATTTTAGATATTTTTAATGGAAAAAGTGCCAGAAAGACTGCAAAATTAGTATATAAAAAAATAAAATTAATAATAATATATAATATATAATTA